CAACACCAGCCGTAAGGACGGTGTCGTCTGGTCTGTTTGGTTCGAGGGTTGCCACAACACAACCCGCACGAGATTTCTTAAGCGCATTGAATCATTGCTAAAAATAGACCTGCGGTACGCTTTATGTGGAACCAATCGTCGGCCAATAAGACGACCCACGCCGTATCCCATTGGCCAGCCCGCCACGATTTGTTTGTAGCAGACCTCCCTCGTGTTAGACTCGAACATTCGGCGGGAAAAATTTCACATTCTCGTGTACTCTTACGGAGTCGATTAAACACGGGTTTAATAACCGACAGTTTATTTACCATACAAGATTGTTTTTATAATCCGTAGTAAAGTTATTTATTATTTATAATTATTTTTTTTTGGCGGCGAATGTCAACCGGGTACCACTGATACAAGCAAATGTAAACACGAAAGACGTTACGTACGACCTTGTGGTTGTATACAGTCACTTTTTTTTATTTTTTTTATTTTTTCCCCACGAGGTCGTCAACCTTAAAAGGGGGCTCCAATTAATTACAAAATTAGATCCGCCCACGTCACTATGCTTTTATTAGTCTTCGTTCTAAAACTTGACACTAATCTCAAAGAGGGAGAAATTCAGAAAACAATTAGTTAAGTAGGATTTCTGCATAAAAAAAATATTAATGCACAAGCGCTGCTACAGACAGACTCCAAGAAAGACAAGCGCTGCTACAGACAGACACAAGGAAGACAAGCGCTGCTACAAACACAAGGAAGACAAGCGCTGCTACAGACAGACTCCAAGGAAGACAAGCGCTGCTACAGACAGACTCCAAGGAAGACAAGCGCTGCTACAGACAGACTCCAAGGAAGACAAGCGCTGCTACAGACGGACACAAGGAAGACAAGCGCTGCTACAGACAGACTCCAAGGAAGACAAGCGCTGCTACAGACAGACACAAGGAAGACAAGCGCTGCTACAGACAGACTCCAAGGAAGACAAGCGCTGCTACAGACAGACACAAGGCAGACAAGCGCTGCTACAGACTATCAGGAAGACAAGCGCTGCTACAGACAGACAATCAGGAAGACAAGCGCTGCTACAGACAGACTATCAGGAAGACAAGCGTTGCTACAGACAGACTATCGGGAAGACAAGCGTTGCTACAGACAGACTATCAAGAAGACAAGCGCTGCTACAGACAGACTATCGGGAAGACAAGCGCTGCTACAGACAGACTATCAGGAAGACAAGCGCTGCTACAGACAGACTATCAGGAAGACAAGCGCTGCTACAGACAGACTATCAGGAAGACAAGCGCTGCTACAGACTCCAAGGAAGACAAGCGCTGCTACAGACTCCAAGGAAGACAAGCGCTGCTACAGACAGACTCCAAGGAAGACAAGCGCTGCTACAGACAGACTCCAAGGAAGACAAGCGCTGCTACAGACAGACACAAGGAAGACAAGCGCTGCTACAGACAGACACAAGGCAGACAAGCGCTGCTACAGACAGACTCCAAGGAAGACAAGCGCTGCTACAGACAGACACCAAGGAAGACAAGCGCTGCTACAGACAGACTCCAAGGAAGACAAGCGCTGCTACAGACAGACTCCAAGGAAGACAAGCGCTGCTACAGACAATCAGGAAGACAAGCGCTGCTACAGACAGACTATCAGGAAGACAAGCGCTGCTACAGACAGACTATCGGGAAGACAAGCGCTGCTACAGACAGACTATCAGGAAGACAAGCGCTGCTACAGACAGACTATCAGGAAGACAAGCGCTGCTACAGACAGACTTTCAGGAAGACAAGCGCTGCTACAGACTCCAAGGAAGACAAGCGCTGCTACAGACGGACACAAGGAAGACAAGCGCTGCTACAGACAGACACCAAGGAAGACAAGCGCTGCTACAGACAGACACAAGGAAGAAAAGCGCTGCTACAGACAGACACAAGGAAGACAAGCGCTGCTACAGACAGACTCCAAGGAAGACAAGCGCTGCTACAGACAGACACAAGGCAGACAAGCGCTGCTACAGACTATCAGGAAGACAAGCGCTGCTACAGACAGACAATCAGGAAGACAAGCGCTGCTACAGACAGACTATCAGGAAGACAAGCGTTGCTACAGACAGACTATCGGGAAGACAAGCGTTGCTACAGACAGACTATCAAGAAGACAAGCGCTGCTACAGACAGACTATCGGGAAGACAAGCGCTGCTACAGACAGACTATCAGGAAGACAAGCGCTGCTACAGACAGACTATCAGGAAGACAAGCGCTGCTACAGACAGACTATCAGGAAGACAAGCGCTGCTACAGACTCCAAGGAAGACAAGCGCTGCTACAGACTCCAAGGAAGACAAGCGCTGCTACAGACAGACTCCAAGGAAGACAAGCGCTGCTACAGACAGACTCCAAGGAAGACAAGCGCTGCTACAGACAGACACAAGGAAGACAAGCGCTGCTACAGACAGACACAAGGCAGACAAGCGCTGCTACAGACAGACTCCAAGGAAGACAAGCGCTGCTACAGACAGACACCAAGGAAGACAAGCGCTGCTACAGACAGACTCCAAGGAAGACAAGCGCTGCTACAGACAGACTCCAAGGAAGACAAGCGCTGCTACAGACAATCAGGAAGACAAGCGCTGCTACAGACAGACTATCAGGAAGACAAGCGCTGCTACAGACAGACTATCGGGAAGACAAGCGCTGCTACAGACAGACTATCAGGAAGACAAGCGCTGCTACAGACAGACTATCAGGAAGACAAGCGCTGCTACAGACAGACTTTCAGGAAGACAAGCGCTGCTACAGACTCCAAGGAAGACAAGCGCTGCTACAGACGGACACAAGGAAGACAAGCGCTGCTACAGACAGACACCAAGGAAGACAAGCGCTGCTACAGACAGACACAAGGAAGAAAAGCGCTGCTACAGACAGACACAAGGCAGACAGGCGCTGCTACAGACAGACACAAGGAAGACAAGCGCTGCTACAGACAGACTCCAAGGAAGACAAGCGCTGCTACAGACAGACTCCAAGGAAGACAAGCGCTGCTACAGACAGACTCCAAGGAAGACAAGCGCTGCTACAGACAGACTATCAGGAAGACAAGCGCTGCTACAGACAGACACCAAGGAAGACAAGCGCTGCTACAGACAGACTCCAAGGAAGACAAGCGCTGCTACAGACAATCAGGAAGACAAGCGCTGCTACAGACAGACTATCAGGAAGACAAGCGCTGCTACAGACAGACTCCAAGGAAGACAAGCGCTGCTACAGACAGACACCAAGGAAGACAAGCGCTGCTACAGACACAAGGAAGACAAGCGCTGCTACAGACAGACACCAAGGAAGACAAGCGCTGCTACAGACAGACTATCAGGAAGACAGGCGCTGCTACAGACAGACTCCAAGGAAGACAAGCGCTGCTACAGACAGACTCCAAGGAAGACAAGCGCTGCTACAGACAGACTCCAAGGAAGACAAGCGCTGCTACAGACAGACTCCAAGGAAGACAAGCGCTGCTACAGACAGACTCCAAGGAAGACAAGCGCTGCTACAGACAGACACAAGGAAGACAAGCGCTGCTACAGACAGACTCCAAGGAAGACAAGCGCTGCTACAGACAGACTCCAAGGAAGACAAGCGCTGCTACAGACAGACTATCAGGAAGACAAGCGCTGCTACAGACAGACTCCAAGGAAGACAAGCGCTGCTACAGACAGACTCCAAGGAAGACAAGCGCTGCTACAGACACAAGGAAGACAAGCGCTGCTACAGACAGACACCAAGGAAGACAAGCGCTGCTACAGACAGACTATCAGGAAGACAAGCGCTGCTACAGACAGACTCCAAGGAAGACAAGCGCTGCTACAGACAGACTCCAAGGAAGACAAGCGCTGCTACAGACAGACTCCAAGGAAGACAAGCGCTGCTACAGACAGACACAAGGAAGACAAGCGCTGCTACAGATAGACTCCAAGGAAGACAAGCGCTGCTACAGACAGACTCCAAGGAAGACAAGCGCTGCTACAGACAGACTATCAGGAAGACAAGCGCTGCTACAGACAGACTCCAAGGAAGACAAGCGCTGCTACAGACAATCAGGAAGACAAGCGCTGCTACAGACACAAGGAAGACAAGCGCTGCTACAAACACAAGGAAGACAAGCGCTGCTACAGACACAAGACAAGCGCTGCTACAGACAATCAGGAAGACAAGCGCTGCTACAGACAGACTATCAGAAAGACAAGCGCTGCTACAGACAGACTATCAGGAAAACAAGCGCTGCTATGAACATGATGTGCCCATATGCAGACAACATAAGAACATGAAGCGCCAAAATACTACATAAGGACGCGTTTTTTTTTTTTTTACAATGTTATACCCTGCCCCAAAACAGCTCTACTTGAGCTCATTAAAACTCCAGTTCTATCGCTATAAAACAGTAACCGAAAGCTCACTCTGTACTTGGGCTAGTTGAAGTAGAGTATGCCTGACAAAAAGCTTTAAAAAAACCGGTATTATGTTTAGTCAGCTGACACAAAGGTGTGACGTGGTTTAACTTACACAGGTGTGGCGTAGTTAAACTGACACACAGATGTGAAGTGGTTAAACTGACACAAGTGTGACGTGGTTAAACTGACACAAGTGTGACGTGGTTAAACTGACACAAGTGTGACGTGGTTAAACTGACACAAGTGTGACGTGGTTGAACTGACACAGGAGTCACGTGGTTAAACTGACACAGGTGTGACACGGTTAAACTGACGGGTGTGACGTGGTTAAACTGACACACAGGTGTGACGTGGTTAAACTGACACAAGTGTGACGTGGTTAAACTGACACAAGTGTGAACTGGTTAAACTGACACAGGTGTCACGTAGTAAAACTGACACACAGGTGTGTCCTAAGCTAGTGTTCCAGCTAAAAAATAGTTTGATAATCAGCTTAAGCAGGTCATTGAGTGGTGGAGGGGGGAGAGAAAAAAAAAAAGAAAAAAACTGAATACTCACCAATAGCTTCATAGGGCAGAGGCAAGGGTAATGGGGTACCGACAATCTCTTCTATAAATAGACTGGCCATGTGGGGGGTCTGGGTGGAGACGGAGACCCCCAAGATGGTGCCTGCCCAAGGCAGCAATGTTCCGTTGGACATCCTCACATGGGACGACGCCATAAAGCTTCGTCGCCGGCACTGGCGTGAAGCGGGGCTTTGAGGGGGCTTCTCGTAGCGTGAGGCGGGGCTTTGAGGGGGCTTCTCGTAGCGTGAGGCGGGGCTTTGAGGGGGCCTCTGGTGGACAATGTTAACTGCGGCGCTTCTTCTCTCAGTGACGGTCGAGCTTTCCGTCCTCTGGTAGTCGTCGATATCGTCAGGGTCAAAGGTGAAGACGTTTTCCGAGTCGTAGCTGCTGCTCCTTGACATGAAGGTGTCGCGACAGCCGGGCTGGAACCCTTGGCTGAGCGAGGAGTCACGTGATATCTGGCAGGATCTACTCTGCTCCCCGCTGGTCAGAGAGTCACTGAAGCTCTGACTCCGGTAGGCGTGGAACTCCCCAGGCTCATGTAGAGCTGCTGCCTGGGGTATGTGCTCACTCGCATGTCTGCGGCGGCGGGCTGACAGGCCGCCATACCTGGACACGCTCATGTTGGAAGTCTGGACCCAGTGCTCGAGGTATCGGCTGCAACTGAGGGAATTCTTCTCGTCGACATCTTCTTCGCCGCCTTGGTAGTGGACTAATGATCTGGAATGTTCCAATCGGTTTATTGCTCTGCATGCTGGAGGGGGCATCAAGGTGCCGATGGTTTCGTTCTTATCACGATTGTCTTCCTCCTCCTCGCTGTCAAAATCAAAGAGAGGTGTGTTCACGTCAGAGGCTTCCGACACGGGGCGGGGGGAGGGGAGAGCCCCGCGGCCCAAAGAACTTGCTGGGGATGCGGAGGTTCTGAAAATTTCTGGTGAGACCCTTAGTGGAGGTGTAGATCTTCTAAAACCTCGGCGATCTCGGGCAGGTGAGTCCAACACGTGAGCTAGCGGAGATCTGGGAGCGTTGAAGGCCGATAAGGTGGGCAAATGCTCGTCCCCTTCACAGTGGCTTCTGGGCAGTTCATCAAATGTAAAGTGCTGCCTGACTGGGATGTGGGTGGCGGGGGAGACGGTGGTGGCTGGGGACACGTCGGTGTTGTAGCCGCTGTCTCGGGTGAGAGCTTGGGACGGGGAGAAACTCGACTCAAAGCGGCCCGGCTCTCGGGGTGGGGAATGTGGGCGAATGCTTGGCACAATGGGGGGTCGGGCTCCTGTGCCACGACCCCGTGGGTCAAAGGCGTAGAAATTGTCCTGGTTTGTGTTTCTTGTTTGGTTTCTATCCGCCATCGTCAAAAACCATTTGAACAGATAGCCCCAAGTCGTGGTTTCAATAGCCCCAAGTCGTCGCTTCAACTTGTGTGCTAGACTTGTGTGCTAGAAGACAGAATATATAGTTTTGTACGACAGACACATTGAGTCACATTTTCATGGTTCAAATATGGGATGTGTTATGTAGGAGTCAATTGATGTATATGATGACTCAAGAAATGAATGAGTGATGTGTCATTTAGGAGTCAATGGACGTATATGATGACTCAAGAAATGAGTGATGTGTCATGTAGGAGTCAATGAATGAATGAGTGATGTGTCATTTGTAAGTCAGACGATGATAATGAGATATTATCTGACACATTATTTACATAGCAACGGGTTAAGCTTTAGCTAATACAGGAGAATTTAAATACTAACAGGTTTATGACTTTATGCAGGCCAACAGGATTAATTGAAAGAGCAACAGATGTATGGCTTAGCTAATGCAGGCAAAAACTCATGCTTTAATAATAATAAGATGGACGGAAGAAAAAGTACAATCCAGGCTCCATATCACACCACCATCACACAGGTGTACAACCACCATCACATAGGTGTACACCCACCATTACACAGATGTACAACCACCATCACACAGGTGTACAACCACCATCACACAGGTGTACATCCACCATCACACAGGTGTACAGCCACCATCACACAGATGTACAGCCACCACCACACATGTGTACAACCATCATCACACAGGTGTACAGCCACCATCACACAGGTGTGTGTACAACCACCATCACACAGATGTACAGCCACCACCACACATGTGTACAACCATCATCACACAAGTGTACAACCACCATCATACAGGTGTGTGTACAACCATCATCACACAAGTGTACAACCACCATCACACATGTGTACAGCCACCATCACACAAGTGTACAACCACCATCACACAGGTGTGGTGTGTGTACAACCACCATCACACAGGTGTGTGTACAACCATCATCACACAAGTGTACAACCACCATCACACATGTGTACATCCACCATCACACAAGTGTACAACCACCATCACACATGTGTACAGCCACCATCACACAGGTGTACAACCACCATTACACAGGTGTTCAAACACCATCACAGGTGTACAGCCACCATCACACAGGTGTACAACCACCATCACACAAATGTACAACCACCATCACACACACACACACTCTAATGTTAAACAGATAATTTATTTGGCCATTACTTTCGTCGAGTCAATTAATCCATGTTGCTAAATCTACACGTTAATTTTAAGTGATCACGTAAATCTGCATTCAATGTAGGCCACGTGATACAGTGTATCTGGCAGCTACCTTAACGTCTGGCTATGGTCAGTCATACCCCCCCCCACACACACACACCATACCACTGCTGCCAGAGGTATTTTAATTGCTCAGCGGTTAAACGTTTTTTTTTTTTAAAACTTATTTTAATTTTTAACGCTGCCAGGTTTAACAACGTCCTATTTTTTAAAAAAAATGTCACCACAAAGCTTGTATGTCTAAAGTAGATTGGCTTAGTACTTCAAAGTTCAGTAGGTCTGTGCTTGTCTAGTGCTTCAGGACCCAGCGATTACGTGTTTGGTCGATTGTACATGTCTACGTTTTCCGTCTAACACAAAGACGAAAAGTTGAGGGGGAAAAACGTGCGGGAAAAAGTGCCAGATCTAGAGATAAGGTGAGACGTAGACAGGCGTATCGTCTGGGTGTTGACCTTTACTAGGTAAGCTACGGTAATAGCACAAGAAAACAAACTCGTTCATCCTAAGACACAAGACAAAGGGGAGCTCTATACTATAATATAGATAGTGGGGAGAGTAGTCCTTACAGTAGAGGTAGTGGGGAGAGTAGTCTTACAGTAGATGTAGTGGGGAGAGTAGTCTTACAGTAGAGGTAGTGGGGAGAGTAGTCTTACAGTAGAGGTAGTGGGGAGAGTAGTCTTACAGTAGAGGTAGTGGGGAGAGTAGCCTTACAGTAGAGGTAGTGGGGAGAGTAGCCTTACAGCAGAGGTGGTGGGGCGAGTAGTCAGTAGAGGTAGTGGGGAGGGTAGCCTTACAGTAGAGGAAGAGTAGTCTTACAGTAGAGGTAGAGTAGTCTTACAGCAGAGGTAGTGGGGAGAGTAGTCTTACAGTAGAGGTAGTGGGGAAAGTAGCCTTACAGTAGAGGTAGTGGGGAGAGTAGTCTTACAGTAGAGGTAGTGGGGAGAGTAGTCTTAGAGGTAGTGGGGAGAGTAGTCTTACAGTAGAGGTAGTGGGGAGAGTAGTCTTACAGTAGAGGTAGTGGGGAGAGTAGTCTTAGAGGTAGTGGGGAGAGTAGTCCTTACAGTAGAGGTAGTGGGGAGAGTAGTCTTACAGTAGAGGTAGTGGGGAGAGTAGTCTTACAGTAGAGGTAGAGTAGTCTTACAGTAGAGGTAGTGGGGAGAGTAGTCTTACAGTAGAGGTAGTGGGGAGAGTAGTCTTAGAGGTAGTGGGGAGAGTAGTCCTTACAGTAGAGGTAGTGGGGAGAGTAGTCTTACAGTAGAGGTAGTGGGGAGAGTAGTCTTACAGTAGAGGTAGTGGGGAGAGTAGTCTTAGAGGTAGTGGGGAGAGTAGTCCTTACAGTAGAGGTAGTGGGGAGAGTAGTCTTACAGTAGAGGTAGTGGGGAGAGTAGTCTTACAGTAGAGGTAGTGGGGAGAGTAGTCTTACAGTAGAGGTAGTGGGGAGAGTAGTCTTACAGTAGAGGTAGTGGGGAGAGTAGTCTTACAGTAGAGGTAGAGTAGTCTTACAGTAGAGGTAGTGGGGAGAGTAGTCTTACAGTAGAGGTAGTGGGGAGAGTAGTCTTACAGCAGAGGTAGTGGGGAGAGTAGTTTTACAGTAGAGGGAGTGGGGAGAGTAGTCTTACAGTAGAGGGAGTGGGGAGAGTAGTCTTACAGTAGAGGTAGAGTAGTCTTACAGTAGAGGTAGTGGGGAGAGTAGTCTTACAGTAGAGGTAGTGGGGAGAGTAGTCTTACAGTAGAGGTAGTGGGGAGAGTAGTCTTACAGTAGAGGTAGTGGGGAGAGTAGTCTTTCAGAAGCCTTTGTTTATGTAATTTTGACAGATGAAACAACTCGTCAACACCTGCCTGTGTTTGTGTTTGGATTTGTTCTTACCCAGCACGCTTTATCTACTCAAATAAAAATTAAACTTTTTGAAAAATAGTTTAACCTCGTGTAGTGTTTCTCATAAGATGGCGTGTCCATGATGTACCCCCTCCCTAACCACCACTGTTGGCAACCCCCCCCCCCCCACACACACACACCAAAGAAAAATATATGAAAGAAACTCTGGAAGCATGGCTGGATGACATGGTCTTGGTTAGGGTAATTAAGAGACAAAGATAATTGTTAGTGACCCCTAAACTACTGCCGCTATGGACATAAAAAAAAAAAACAAGTTTATCCCATTTGTTTTACCGTCACCTGCAGTGAAAGGTCACGATGCGATAAACTTATGTTGAAAGCTAGGAAAATATTAGTGGAAAAAAGAACAGTAGGATATGGTTAAGGCTGCTCTCGGGTGTAACACGGCACATTCACATTAACAGACACGTCTTTTACATAATTTAGTGGAACGGCCTTTCAGCGTGTGTGCTACAGGTCAAAGCAATTCAATAAAACGTCTTGTTGAGTGTGCGGGGGGGGGGGGGGGCTGCTTAAGGTAGTTTGGGAATATAATAATAAATATTACGTCAGTAACCAACACCTATAGCCAGGCACTGGTAAACTAATCGTCATATTAAAACATAAAAGCAAATGAGGAAAAATTAAAAATGTCATGCCAACATTAGCCTACAATAATTGTATTATTGTAAACAAAAAACTATTAAATCTATCTGATTTAGATCTAGAATCTAGAGATCTATATTTTTAAAATTGTTAAGAGAAGTTAACTCTCATCTTCCGCTAAGGAAAGAAAACGCAATAAAATGTGCGTACACAAAGGTAAAAATCAATTTACAAATCGTGGCTAGAATCTAGATCTATATATATTATGACTAGTTACTAGAATCTAGGTCTAACTGCATTGATTCTATGATCTATATTATCTTGAATTCTTCAAGCAATATAGATCTAGATATAATATAACTGTATCAGTTTATTTTTCAGTTACTCGTGAGGATATCCACCGATACAATTATTTTTGCCAACAGTCGAAGTGAGGGCAAGTAGGTCACTTAAATTAGATAATGATGCAACCACTAAGGTTAGCGTAAAAATTAGTTTTTCCATGAGAAATAAAATTCGAACAATGAGCTGGTAAGGATCATGAGCTTGGCCTATTGAATTAATAATAATAACAACGCACGCCTTGCCTTACACGGCTTACGGGATTTCTCTGTTTACCAACAAACCAACGTGACTGCCACTTCTACATCACACACGAACAACACAAATGTTGGACACTGAGATTTATTAAAAATTATAATAAACGTCTTATGATGTTAAAGATAGAGCCTTCAAAGATAACTTACCTCGGTTTAAAAGATAAACCCTTTTATTCCCGGATTTATATCGCAAATGGTTCTGTTAATCTAATGATCCAAGGTAACTCACACTCACTACAAATACAACTTAGCACTGCCGCGTTTGTGTTTGTACGATAGGCATGCCCTATGATGTCATCATTCGCGTACGGCCAACCAATCAGATTTCAAGGGGCGGTAGCAAGTCTATGCTTGCTAAAAATCTGATTTAGCGAAGAGAAATCGGGTACCACGACTTACACAACCATTTTATGTTGTTAGACTTTAGTACTGAACTTACTGCGTAATACAGATTGGTACACATTGATAGTTATTTTTTAATAAGTTACTTTGTAAAATATGTATTTATTTTGGTCGGAGTTGAGAACGAGTTATTGACCCTGGCATGACCCTAAAATATCTGCATAAAACTACATTACTTCGTTTAGAAAGCAGACAAAATAGCTTTACTTTGCAAGCGCTCTTTTAAGAATTTAGATATAGATTCTAATGAATTTTGTAACTATTCTAAATTCCAAATTAGTAAAATTACAAGCTAACAAAAAAAAAATTAGAGACCTAGATCCATAATGAACATTATAGAATCTAAGCCCTATAGTCCTATAGGCTATAGTAAAACTAAGCCGCTATACGCTATAGTCTAAGTCTATAGACATAGTAGTAGTAGGCCTGATTTAAGAGAGTCTAGTATAGATTAAATAAATCTAGAAATCTAGATAAAATTAAACTAAGTTTTTTTTTAATTAATAGGCCTTATAATTATAATATGATGCAGGCCTAGGCCTATTTATTTATCATGTTTAAAGTAAACCTTCTTAGCTAATTACTTCATTAGGCTTATTAGTATTAGACTTTTATGTTGTTAAAACATGTAATATTTTTTTCAATATTTACTTGACTCTACGCCTATTTTTGTAGTACCGTGCGCGCCTCTAATTTGATTAAAAGTTTTAGTCTACCAGATTAATTTTATTTGGTTAGCCTAAGCCTCGTTTTTTTTAGTGGTAGATCTAGTACTATAGTAGGAATGGGTGTTTGGGGAAAGGGGGAAAATCTATAGTTAACTGTGCTTTCAAGTTCAACCAAAACTACTTCCCTTCAGCTTCAAGGAACAGTCCATATATTTTTTTAGCGCAATTTCCATTCTGGAGAATTGCGTTTATTAACTCGTCATTTCTGGGAATGGATGGATGAATGAATGAATGAATGAATGTATGGATGAATGTGTGTCCGGGCTTTAAGTCGTATCTCCTCCTCAACGAAGCAATATCGATGACTAGTTCCAAAAGCAATTATGTTAAGCAAGTTACGAGAATGAGCATAGGCCATAAAAATTCCGGGTTTCTTTCATGTATTTCCTGGAAAAGCCAAAAAACATCGAAAAAATTCAGTTTTTGGCCCATATCTCGGCAACCAGACCACTTAGCGACTTGAAACATGTACCAATCGATTCCTGCCATAATTTTGAACAATATTTCAGAAGAAAGTTTTCAAAAATATCCTCTCGTTCGGTCACAAATTTTAAAATTACATAAACACCTACAAACCGATCGTTCTGCCAGCTTGAACGCACCCCAGCATTATACGTCAGAGCTATTTTTAGATAACATAAGGAAATTGCGCATAAATGTCACTAGACTTTTTTAATTAACTTGTTTTACATTATATTTTATATCAATTCGTGTATAATAAGTTGTATAGGCCTAAATAGTAACGCAGGTGAAAAAGTTTGCCTTCTTTCACATTAAAACTTGTTGCATTTTTTTTCTAATTCAGATTCATCTGGACCTAGCCTCTTATTAATCCTATCCTCATGGCGCAATTATACCCATGTAATTAAAAGCAGAATTTTCATCACATTTTAATTTACAATATTGTCTTTTGTTGTAACCAAATTTAGTTCAAGTACAAAAATTCACCTCTGCAGTTGTAGTGTCACTACACTTGACTTGGTTTGTTCGGTAGTGTCACTGCAATTGTGACAAACTTCAATTATTGTCACTGCTCCTTGAAAGAATTTAATCACGTTGAAAGAATTTAATCACGCTACAGTTTAATGCTGTTTTAGCTTAAATAAAATGTAGCTTTAATATTTTGAGTATGTTGGCCTATGCATTTAGATTTTGGAACAATTTCCCCCTCCTCCCAAAGAGCTGAAAAATTAGATGTAACCCCTGAAAAAGCTGAAAATCAAATCAGTGAAAGCTGATGATGGTAGTGAGGACTGCACATGCATGCACTGACTGAGGCCATCAGATAGAGAAGTTTTCATACTTTTATATGTTAAATAATAAAATTATCTGCACAGAACTAACTCAAATCTTTAGAGTTTGAAAATAAAAAGCACTAAATCTTGGTCAGTGTTAAAGACAAAATATTTTATTTTCCAACTCAACATGGAAATGTGAGTATAAATTTGAAAGACATCAAAGTAAGTTTCATCAAAAGTTCTAACAGTGAAGAGAATGCTAGAGACACCTGAATACAAAGTAAAGCTGACAATGCAAATATACATTCCTCAAAGTGTGGCACAGAATGTGATTCTCTACATACAAAGAGACCACTTAAATGTATATAATGTGACCAAGAGACCACTTAAATGTATATAATGTAATGGGACCAAGAGACCACTTAAATGCATATAATGTAATGTGACCAAGAGACCACTTAAATCAATAGGCCCTATTCTACCCACAGCTGTCTCAGTTTTGAAATTCAAAAATCCATCTTTAAACCAAGGGGGTTAATTCCTGATGCCATTTTAATTGCTTAACTAAAAATGATACAAGAACTTTAGGTTCATGATCCCTTTTAAACAAAGTTTGTTAAATGTACACAAATCACTGGTGTACAGTAAAAAATGTTACTATAATAAAATTAACAATGAGTACTATCAGTTACAGCAGAACATTGGAATTTAGTTTGAAAATTTCTGAATCATGGACATTTCAATCCTGTCTGAATCATGGACATTTCAATCCTTAAAAGTGTAGACCAGTGAAGGGATTGGGTTATGTGAAAAACTACAAACATCTGGGATGTGTTGGGGCAGGGGAGATGCCAGTTTTTTCAGAGACAGCATGTTACAGCAAGCATGTATCCAAGTGGTCATTGATCTGTTGGGCAGGTACTTTTATTGTACACACAGGACAAGACACTAATGGGGTGTCTTGTGCCTGTCTGGTTGCAGGATTACCATCTGCCTGTCTGGTTGCAGGATTGCCATCTGTGTGTCTTGTTGCAGGATTACCATCTGTGTGTCTTGTTGCTAGGTTGTCTTGGCCTTTTCCATGAGTTGAAGATGAAGTGCTTAAGTACTGAGAGTCCCGATTGTTTATGTATTTTGAATTATTCTGTCCTTGCAAGGACTCCAACCCAAATGCTACTTCAGAGCTTCTTTTACGTGGAAATGAAGAGTTGCTTGCCTGAAGAACAGATTCACCTGTTTTTGGTCTTTGGATTGGACCTAACAAAGTGTTCCTAGTGCCAGATGTATTACTGTTAAATGATTTTCGTATTTGTGAAAGAAAAGAGCTGCCTGCCTCCCCAGTACCTAACCGATAGCCTTGACCTGTAAACTTCTCTGAAGGGCATTTGGAAAGTGCAACATCTTCAGAACCAACCTGGCTCACATAATTAGATTTCTGTGGTTTTTCTATCTTTCTCTCATCTTGTGTGTTTTTAGCAAATGAAGTTGAAAGCTCAGTTTTTACATCGCCATCCTTTTTATGGGTGACCTCATTTATATCAGTACTACTTCCTTCCTCATCAGATTCTAAATCCGTGACTTCTGTAAAGCCTTCCTGCTTATTGCATGCACTGTGTTTTGCTTGTACTTTTTGTAGACTGCTGGTTTCCACCCACAAATCATCATTATCATCCAGCTCATCAAAGACATAAGACTTTGGTTTTTTCAAAGCTTTGGGTTTTTCCGTAAACTTTCCTCCTTCACACACACTAACAAAATGTCTGGAAAATATGACCTTGCTGTTATCTGGTCTTCTGCCGCCACTGTTATTCTTGTTACCTCTGTGTACAACTGGCGTCCTCTTTTTACGAATGTTTGAAGTTCCAGGATATTTTTGGCTGATTCTTTTAGAGGAGTTCATGCCAACAGTGGGCAAAATTTTCTTTTTGTGCTGAGGTTTTGGAGTCTGATGGGACATGTTAAGACTTTCACAATTTTTAATGTCTTTAGCAGTTAGATCAATGATGTCTGCTTTATTTAAAGGGGATACTGTATCCAGAGATGGGCTGGTGAAATAACCCTCAGAACTGCCAGTGTCTGCATCCAACATCCAAGAATCATCTTCATTCTCTGGAAAATTATCCAGACTTTCCAGTGAGATAGCACTGCAGTCAAACATCTTAGGTTTATCTTTTGAAGGGGGTTTCTCCAGTGAGACACCAACAGCTGTGTTTGAGGAAACTTTAGCAAGGCTGTGAGGGTTGGAACTATTTTTTACAGATGGGATAGAAAAGCTTGACGGAGCAACAGATTTGGCAGCTGATGAATTAGGTAAAGATGAAAACAAAGGACTTGGTCCAACAGCTTTGGTGGTCAGAACACCATTGACTATCACTGATTGCTTAGCTTTGTTCCCCGTAGAGATACTCTTTGATGAATTGTTGGAGGAAAATGTACTATTTCTTTGAATGACATTTTTTTGAGAAGAAGTTCCAAGAGAAATGCCTCTGCCGACAAAGGCACGAATATCAGTTGTTGGATTTTTTATTTTATCTGGGAAACAAAATGATGCAAATAAATATACAATATCAATATACAAAACAAAAGTGTTCATAACTAAATTAACAGAGGAGGATAATTTCACTCTTATTTGAACTTTAAAAAAAATAGTTATCCAATTAATCTTTCTGATACCAAACTACCTTCTTTTCCCTTTCCCTTTTTTTGACCATAGCCCTCAGGTTCTTTGATCTTTGTAAAGCTTCCACCACAAGAGGCTTGATGTTCTCCCCACCAAAAGTCACGAGGTGAGGGGGCGCGATTCATGGCACGTTTGACGTAACCAAAATATGGTTTCCTACTTTGACAGGGACCATCACATCTCCACCAGTGTTGTTGGTAGGCCTCAACTTCATCATGAAATGTGTGATAGATCTAAAGCAAAAATAAAATAGTACATCTACTCTTAGTAAAAAATCCCATTTCCTACAAACTTGTACTTAGAAACATGCTTAAATTATAAATAAAAGCTATTGTTTGTAAAGATAACATAACAAGAATGTGCCTGAAAATACATTGTTTGTATAAAAACAGATAGGAAGAGAAAAGAATATATGAAATCCAGATTTTGAGAGTATTATACTAAATAATCTTATTCTTAAATCATTGAGTAAAAAAAATAGCTGAAACTTTTCTTACAGAAATGTTAGCTCCTGTCTCTTTGTTAATTCGATGCATATGACTTTTAAACTGAGGGCCATGGCCATCATGATCCTAGAATAGATTTTTAAAATTGTTTTTTACTTGTTCCTGTTAATATGCTTAATCATGTTCATTGTCCATATTAAGCAGACTACACAGAAGTCGACATAACAGAAGACAACAGCAGCAAATCTAGCATTGTAACTTATGGGTTGGCACTAATGAACTATCATTAAGTCAACAACAGCATTTTAATATTGGGTGACAAACTAATCTTAATGAAGCTCACTTTGACTGAAAATTTCACAAACAAATGAAGTCTTACCCTATCATTGTCTGTGATAAACAAATAAGCATGGATCATTTCATGCTGAAAATTTAAAAACAACTTGTTTTATGAAAATATTTATATTTTTAAACACATTGTTTTAAAGTAAAGAGAATATCTCTTGCCATAACAATCAGGGTATTTTAATAAAATCTTAGTGGTTCAGTCTGATTATTCACAAACTTCTATAGAACCTTTCAATATCAAATCTGTACATTTCGTAAAAAATTAAGTTTGACTTAATCTTATGATCACTATGCATATGTAAATTTCTTTGACAAAATAATAGTAGAATATTTAAATTACCAAGAGAGTTTCAACTAAATCTTTTCTTGGCCTGAGCTTCAACAAAGGTAGACTAAGTCTGACAGAACAGAGACCTCCACGTCCTTCATAAACACATAGGCCTGCACAGCTGAGAAAAAAAATAAGAATAAATGAATAGCACATTTTCAATGAAGCTATTTAACAGTTGGGTATGTCAAAAAATAAACTAGAATAAACTAGGATGACGAAGAACTATATCATTACAACAGTTTATAAAATATGAATATGATAATCTTATAAGTTACATTACTGACAATCCTTACTCACAAGCTTGAGGAAAGTTTATCAAATTTTTAGTAAATTATATTAGTAGACATGGAGACTAATATTATTATGATAGAAAAGTCAGATACAGACCTATAAGTAGCAGTTTTTTTTAAAATGACTGTACTGTATTTAAACTATGTAGACAAATGTAATGTATAAGTATAGAGGGCCCAAGCAACAAAAATTAATTTTGTTAAGAAAAGCAGAAAAGAAAAGCCAGGCCAGGCTGAGCTATTTTGTCAATATGCACAGTTGAGAAAGGCCTTCATTCAAGTTTTCCCTAGGCTAGGTTAAAGGCAATAGTTTCTTTCTGCTGCGTATGCATATTCCCTATGGGATGGAATAAGCCATTTTAAAATAGTTATAATACCTAGTGAAATTTTTTAGGCCTATAAATTTCATTAGTAATATTAGTATGATTAGAATTGTAATTGATTAGTTAGTAGTAAGATCAACTAGTCTAGAATGTAGATCTAGAGTTCTACTATTACTATTACTATTACGCCTAAGTATTACTATTACTAATTGTAATAACCTAAAGTCTAGAATCTAGGCCAGGCCTAGATATTTCATTTCAAAATATTTTTACTCACAGAGTCATTCTGGGGCTCCATTTGACTTCAATTCCAGAAAGACGTCCCCAGAAGAACTGAATATTAAATTGAAGAAACAACTCAAAAATGTTAGGATTTGGATCTGAAAATTCCAATGATGGGTCAACTGGGGACAAACCCAAGTGAAACTTTTCAGTAAAATCATTCATCTGTATTGAAGCCGCATTCTTACTTCTTCCGCTTCCATTAAACTTTATAGCGTATTCTGGATTATCATTTACACTTCTGCTTTCAGAATTGTCATCGTCTGCAATTTTAACGGCTATTTCTCTGTCATATTCTTCCTGAAGTTTACGGGCGTATTCTAGATCGTCAAGGCCAGGAGAACCGAACATTTTCAACATTTCATAGATGATTAATATTAGATCTAGACTAGTATTAGTAGGCCCGGCCTATACCCGCCCTATAGATGATTGATACAATTGATAGAATTTAGTTAGATCTAGTCTAGGCCCTAGAATCTAGAATTTATCAAATCTTATGACTTATGTAATACATATAGTATAATAATATCCAGCGAAACGCAGCGCGCTAAACAAATTTAAAAAGAACTGCAGATAATATGACTATTATGACACAAAAAAAACGGTTGACAGTACAGTAACATTACACTTGGAATGATTACACAATGTTTTGTTCATGGTTCAGCATTTTTTTTAGATTTGAAGTCAATAAGGGGCAACTACTATTAAATCATTTGACTTAGGTTTTACTAGTAACCGAAATAATCGTTAAAAATCAAAGATTACGGTTATTAATGTAATAAAATAGGACTAACTGTTGCATAAATAGATGGGTTAATTGTATATTGTAATTGGAAATTTGTATGCCATCTTTAAATAATAAATATTGTAAGCAGTATATTTGGGGGTTTGAAGTGTCATTAATCCACATGGCAAAATGCCCCAGTTGTTTTTTTAAAGTGTTTTTTTTAAATAAGAAAAGGAAAAGTGTACCAAATTGTACCTATAGATTTAGATCTAGATAAAAATAATAAATGTTGTTTAATAACATAATAATTTCAATAAAGGATAATGCAGAGAAAAAAACTTTTTTTTTTATAAAGTGTTTCTACCTAGACTTCATTTACTTACTTCGTTAATGATAATTTCTTACTTTCAGTTTCAATCACTTTATTTAATTCACTTAAATTATCTTTACAATCTAATCACATACTTTATCCCTAAACTTAACCGAACTTGAAATTTAATAAAATAGTTGAAGTTAAAATACCTAATGTTACAGTTATATACAGTATAAATATGTTTTGTAACTTTCGCTTAACTTAATTTTCATAACTTCTTTTCTCTTAGCTCTTCTTTTCATTTTTGACCAAGCTTTCCTCTCTTTTCCATGCAGGCTGTTTTATCCAAGGAGGTTTGTATTTTCGCGCCTTTATCTTTAAGAATGTTTTGGAAACGAGTTAGGTTAGTATCATTAAAATAGTTAATAAATAGCATTGACGCACAATATGTTCAACTTTTCGGGGTGTTCCTTTTGCACAACTGTTAAACCAGCTAATCCAATAACGTGTATCTCTTTTACTTTTAAGTTATTTAGATTGTATGTCAAAGCAACTTATAGCTTGCTCAAACCCTTGTTGGTTTCTCAAACTTCTCTTATGTTGTTGGGGCAATCATAAGTATATATATGTGTGTATATATATATATATATATATATATATATTAGATTTTCTTAGTAAATTTGAAATGTACTCAATTTTCAACTTAAACATGACAACTAAATAAAAAACGTCCATACTTTATCCACTAGGCACTAATTTTGGGAATTTGCAAGTTTTAGACTAAATTATTGAATTTTAAATTTTTTGGTCACTCACAGCTATGGTATGAGGGATCCATCCATGACAACCTGCTTAAAAGCTGAAGGGTTTAACTTTTTAATTGACCGTGAAATAGATCTAATTTTTTTTTACAAGAGAGTTCCTAAAAGTAGAATTGGCCCGTCTATCGTCGGGATATATTTATAGAGGGAAAAAATTTAAGAGAATGTCATCAGAAAAGAATTTTAAAAAAGACAAGACAGAAGTGATGTTTGAATTCTTTTATTTCTTTAATTTTATAACATTTTTTATTGTACAAAAGAGCAAAATAAAAAACCATGCCAGGTAAACGTATCCATTCAAATAGCGGTCACGTGGTAAAAAAAAATAAAAAAATTTGGTTGTCATTTTTTGGACACATCTTATAAAAAAAAGTGTTGAAGATATTTGATTTATTTTTTCATAGAATGATAAAACTAATAATGCTTTACTTTGGAAATCAATTTTGTGATATGGAGATCTATATTTAAAAAGTTATATTATTTTGAATGACACCGACTTTAAATTTAGCCTACATTCTCCAAAGCAATTTTTGAAAATGCTTTTCTGGCATATTTCGACTTGCCACCTATAGCATGTTTTTATAACGTGAAAACCTGCCATTTTGCTCGTGGTAAACACTTTTAAAAGTAATTCCAAGGAGGTCCCTGGAACTAAGTCGAAAAACTCGCCGGAAGTCATGGTCCGATCCTAACGCCATGTTCTGGTTAGCAACCAATGACGCTTTCAAGTTAGTGAGCCTCGCTAATATATATATATATATATATATATATATATATATATATATATATATATATATATATATATGTATGTATGATTTTTTTTTAGAGAGGGAAGACTTCAGGTTTTGATCTTTGGTTATGAATCAAGTACTGTGAAACATAATCAACAACTTGACAGTCATCTGATACAGTCACCCTATTCAGCCATCTGATTAAATATTTGTTCCAAAAAGAATTTTAAAAAGTTCTACAGCATTCTAAATTTTTTTAAATGTGTCATGGGTGGGTGGGGGTATTACATCCACCCTACCGCTGTATTACATACACAGGGTAAACTGTATTAAATGTGTGTGTATATATGTATATAAATATATACATATATAAACAGGGAAGGCCAAGGGAGTCATATAGGTGCATGGTGGGGAAGCAGCTGGCAGAGGCAGGACTGGCTTCAGCTACTGCCTGGAAAATTGCAGAGATCGACAAAAGTGGAGGCAGCTTTCTCACTTTCTGTGTCTGCCCCATGTGTCTTGGTAAAAAAGATATATATATATATATATATATATATATATATGAGACTGTGGGTTATCAGTACACAACAAAGGTAGACCAACGGCGTTCCAAAAGATTTATTAACAGAGTATTTATAACGTTGAAATTCACAATATGATAATACTTGATCAGTACATGAATATTAAACTATGTTTGCATAATTATTGAGAGCAGCTCCTCCTTACCACTAACAGGGGGTTCATTTCCTACAGCAATATTTTGGACCAGGAAAAAACAGGGGAGGGGTAATTGACACTCAGCGGCAATGCTTCCTGGTATAGAGCTGGTAAGTAGGTCACCAACCAGTTCTACCGCTAAATAAAACCTGCATGAGCTATAGAACTGATTGGTGACCTACTTACCAGCCCTATAATGCCTGATGAATGGATTTCCCTGCTGCTTAAAATAAGACAGTAACATGTGTTAGTGATGTCTCAAACACCCTTTGAGCAAGATGAAAGATTCTAAACTTATTATCAGCGCGTGTTCCTATGAGTTCCTCAACAATGCTCTACACAAAACGTGTGGGGCTATTTGTCCTTTAAATCTTCCAATTTGTTTATACTTATGACCAGTCATATTTTCTTCATTGATTACCTTTTCTAGATTATTTTGATCAAGCCATTCCATTGCTTTATATAATTTTGCTTTTACTTAGCAACAAACAAGTGATATTGTGGCATCTGATACTCAATATATTAAAAAAAATCTGCCAGTGGATATATTATGTGGTAGATCTATATCATGGATTTCATCTGATGGATGAGATAAATAACTAGCTATTTGCCTTTTTTTTTTTATCACGGCAAGTTTATCTTGTCTTTAAAAAGAAAATCTTTAAGCTTTACATGTTGATATGCTTTATAATCAAGCTGCGCTGACTTCTTCAAACTTGGGTACAACTGTTCAAAATCAAGCTCTGCTGCTTTTATTGGCTCTGTATTTTTTATCTGTTTTGCTTACATTCCAACAGTATATTGAAACCTTAGCGAGACAGCACACCTACTAGTTGGTTTGTCCAAGCTATTACACTTATATAAACAAGGCCTCATCCAAAGACTACTTTTACAATACTGAGAGCTTGCAGCTCAAGGAAAAATAGGTCTTTTTTAAAATTTAGATCTTAGTAGAGAGATTTTTTTTCAAAATGGTAATATGAGAATTTCTGTCAATGTCAAAATAAATTTTGAATTATAATGCCCTGTAAGTTAACATGTACAACAGTATAAATACTATTTAATTTCTTTATGTTTGATTGTTACTCTTGTCCTTTTTCCTTATATATCAGGTCACATATCACCTTTTTAAACTGAATATGTGGTAAAATATAAATGTTGAAAATCATGTACATTGTAATTTTTACATATTAATATTATATAATACTAGTATACCAGTATGAGTAAGGTAGTGTAAGAATAAATATAATGTTTAATAAATTTGAGTAGTTAAATATTGCTAAAAGGTACACACACCTTGAGTTGACAGTTATCAGAAAAAGCATAAATAAACTATTGACAATTTAACTCAGAAAATAAAATAAGGAAAAAATTTATTAATTACACTTCATGTATGCCTAAATATCAACAAATTTATTTAAAATTATATATACAAGTATAAGGTAACATAAAATCAAACAAAAACAATATGTAGAAAATATTTTATTTTAAATCTTTAATATTCTTTGATTTTTAATGTGTAGGAACTGAAAAAACATTTCAAAATCTTCAAAACTGGAGTAAAGAGAAAATGTTAAAAAATAATGCCTTTTAGTCTAGAACTCAACAAATAAAAAAGAACTCAGATGACTAGTTGCTAAACAAACAAAAATTAACATGTCTTACAAATTACTGAAATGCTGTACATCAACAATAAGAATAACTTAAGTTTTGTAATGCTTGAGATTTTTTACAATAATACTAGTGAGATCACATATATTTTGATTGCTTCAACATATTACATCCCAGAGAACAGGTAGGTAAAATAACCGTTTATGCTGTTTTCATAAAACAACATGAACAAGATCCTGATTTTATTTTGTGAAACAAAACATCTTTTTTGAGGTTTTTATACATTATAAATATCAAGTTTACAACAAATGTTTACAAATTTAGTCACATTGTTACAGGTCAAGGGAGGAAATTATCTGAATTTTTAAAAAATATCTTTCACTTGTAGCACTACTAAAATAGATGATAAAAGTCATGAAACTTTACAATTCAATGACAGAAATCTAAATGAACTTTTTATAGTGATGTAATAGTACAAAGGATTTATACTTTTAGTCGCCTGGCTTAACACTCTTGCAACAATGAAGCTTAATGCAGGTTTGCTTTACTACACTACTTATAGACACAATCAGTATTTATTATAATTTCAATATTTATTTTATAGTTTTATTTTTCTAGAAGAGCTACATCTTGTCCAATTTGATTTGTTATACAGCTTGAACTCTTAAATAGTTATGTTCTATGATATAACAGATTAGACACAAAATGCACAATTTTCTTGTATTTGATGTTGAAGGTTTTCCTTCCTAATCTCTCTCAAGTGCTGTAACCTCTGTGACTGTTGCTCTTGTGTTTCAACAGCCCTATATTTTTTCCCCTGCTCTCGTAAACGTTCTAATCTCAAGCAGCGTTGCTCGAATGTTTCATGCTCATGCCTACGTCTCTGATTTTCTCGTAATCGTTGTAATCTAAGTGAGCGTTGCTCTGGAGTTTCATTACTACGCATTTTTTTTGCATATTCTCGTAAACGCTGTAACCTCCTTGAGCGCTGTTCTGGTGTTTCTTTTGCTGACAATTTAATTCTGATATCTTTCACACAAGTGTTTTGGCTCTTTTCTAATTGTTGTAAGTATTGCATACTAGTACATGGTGCAGTTTCCTCTGATCTAACTGGTTGATGCTCAAGAGATTGTTTATTACGTATTTTTCTTGCATATTCTCTTAAATGTTGTAGCCTCCGTGATCTCTGCTCCGCAGTTTCTTTCTCTAAATATTTTCTTTTATTTTCTCGCAAGCGCTGTAACCGCATCACTCGCTGTTCTGGTGTTTCATTTTCAAGTGATTTTCTTTTGTATTCCCTTGAGCGTTGTAGTCTCAATGCACGTTGCTCTGGAGTTTCATTTTCTCGACTTCTTTTTTTATATTCTCTCGAGCGTTGTAGTCTCAGTAAATGTTGCTCTGGTGTTTCTCTCTCTAACCACCTTGCTTTTCTGTTGTATGAAACTTGCAGTTGCCTGGTATGTTCAACACCTTTAACTTGGGAGTTTTCTAAATCAAAGCATTCTGTTGGTTTTTCAAACATACTTCTTTCACACAGTGATTGTTCATATTTTCTGATTGATTGATTGCTCAATATTTGTTTACCTTTCAAGTTGTGAGCTAAAATAAAATATTTGTAAAAACATATTTTAAGAGGCAAACAATTAAAGACATGAAATTTTTTAATGTAGGGCCCTATCTATTAATTTAAAAAAACATTTTTGTATACACAATAAATTAATGAGTCTATTTTTACATAGATAACATAGGATAAGCTAAATTTAATAAAAATTTTGGAATGTGGTTTTCAAATGATAATCTGTTGCTTTCCCAAACAAAATGCTGTTAAATTTGATAGTTATACAATAATTAAGATCATTTATTTTAATTACCTTGATAAAATGAATCACTACTATTACTATCACCAAAGGTGATTCTTTCCTGCATTTCTGATGTTTCCAGTTTAATGCTTTTCAACAAATCTGTTTCATATGATGGTTCTTCTTTAATATCTAACACATGCAGATCAGGTTTTATATCCTGTGCACAAAGCTCTTCATGGTTTTGGGAGTAGTGTGCGATTTCAAAGTATACATTAGGGGAATCTTCACAGTCAGAAAGTGTTTCATCAGGTTCAGTCTTTATTGACATCAGCATATACTCAGTGTTTTCATTATCACATTCTTGTAACAGCATTTTGAAAATAGACCTATAAGATTCTGAAATTTTTTATAAATAGAATTAATTAGAATATTAAAATTTGACTGTGATTATGTGATCTACATGATAAAACATATGTCAATTATATTAAAAGTAATCAAATAGTTGGATAAAGTAGTCTATACAGCTAACAATTAACTAACATTAATTTAACAGTACAAACACTAAATAATTGAATATTTGTTATTACTTGTTCGTTACTGAAAGACATTATTGATTTACATAATCAAAAGCCTGAAAAATTTTTAGTACTAATTAAGTTTTTTTTTCTAGAGTGGGGTTTTCAGAATATCGATCACAGAGTTCCCGCAGCCTGTTTGTCTTACAAAGTTGAAACTTCAGGTAAAATCTTAGGATTGATGAAAATTAATAGAAATGTAGTTTAAATCAATGTAGTCTTTGGTAAATAAAAAAATTATTTTAAAGTTGATTTAACATTGATTCTAAAAATATTATATGTCTGAAATCTGAATTATTTTCAGAATTAAGTAGTTTGATTGCAAAATCTTTATCCATGTTAACAATAATCAATTAATGATGGAAAATAATGTCAATATTTTAATACCCATTTAATCATTAAGGTAATAATACTACAGTAGTAAGTTATTATTAAATACTAGGCAGATTCTAAGCGGAAGAAGATGAGCTACAATGACCTGGTTTTTCTTGTCATCTAAATGTTCATTGTTTAGGCTTATGTGTTGTCTTGATGGGACAGGGATTAACATGATAAATAATTAAATAGTAGAGTAAAGTTCCGCGTGTGGTCAAAACCACGGTGTAGTCACATTCCTGTTTATGGCTTCGTATAATATTTGTTTGGATGTTTTATACGAAACTACCAATATCTGCTGTAAACATGTCCATTTCTAAATATATCCAGGTCAAATTCTTTTGTTTCACTCCTTCTGAAAGACGAGTTTTTAAATTTACAAGTTTCGAGGTATGACGTCGTAGGCGATTCTAGTTCCCCCGTATGAAAAGCACTAGGTCCCGGATGAGATGAATAAAACCAACCAATCAAAGCTTTTTATAACTAGGTTAACTATAAATAGCTTCTATTTATGTGCGGGACACTGAAAATACTGTAGTTAAGGCTATTAAAAGAATCTTAGTGGTGAAATGGGGGTGATCACAGCTGGGGTAACGATTTTTGTGTTTTACCCTCGCTGTGGTCACCAATGACTTGAGCTAGACTAGCCTAGATCTAGCTGCTCTATATTTCAAGCTAAGTCTAGAACCTATATAATTTCTATTTTTTTCTGTTGTTTTAAATTATTTTAATCATCTACTTCTTCTAAATCTAGTTTGTGTCTCTACATACAATCCAATTGAAGCAAATGTTACGTTTTGTCTTGTTAGTGATTGTTACGTCCCTTTGTTATGATTATAATAGTTGCGTCCCTTGAGTCATCACTGGGTCATCCGTAATTTGTAGTTAATAAATTTAATTAACGTGTTATTATTTGGTTTTGCAAATCTATTAATTAATTATACAATCATCAACACGTTTAAATGAGTAAAATTATTAAAATTGGATCAAAACGTAAAAAATACGCTAGTGATCACAAGCAGGGACAGGTGACCACAGGCAAGTAAAAAGGGGGGAAAAGTCGATCACAAGGAGGTTCGTCACTAAAACATGAATATCTCAAATACTATGCGTATGAATACAAAATAACTCATGCATATTAGAGTAGAATGGCAGTGGAGTAATAAATTACTTTCGGTTTGTTTCTGTGTGAAACGGTTACAAAATAGCGCCCGATGAAAATCGGGAGTTCGGAATTTTTCGCTATGTGTGACCACACGCGGAACTTTACTCTAGATTGAAATAGGCTATTAAAATAGATTTTTTAAAAATATTTTATGCTTCAATTATAGACTCCAATTAGTAGATCTCCTAACTAGATTTCTACTATAACTTAGTACTATGGACCCTAAATCCCTGACGACTTGACCGAAGCACAATTGCTCGAACACACTGAAGCGCAACTGCTCAAACACATGGTACCGATTGTTTTGTCAGAAGAATAAGGTTAAAAAGAAAGGTAATCTATCGTTTCAGGTACGTCAAATCACCCGCAACTAGTAATGTGAAAAACAGGTGACTCCTTAAATTTTAATAATTATTTCACATTTTGAGGAGGATTCATGTTTTGAAAAATACAAAAATGTTTCCTTGTTTCATTTATGCAGATCTACTTGTTTGTAAACAATTCAATTAAAACTTTTCAGTAATAAATGAAGACTAGCGATGTTTTTATCAGATGCAACCATGCTCATTTACTATTTACTAAAGCAGCCATCTTCTTTAAGTTTTATTTTGTTAAACTTATAGCGAAAGATTCAGGGGAAGCCACTCTATTTTACAAAGCTGTTGTTTATATAGCAAATCTTGCTCTCAAACACTGCTGTTTAGAGTTAACTTCTGGCCTATATTGATATTGATATATTTAGCCATTGATTTTGGTTTATTATTCAGTTATCTATAATAATTGACACAAATATTTTACAATATAGATCTACTTCTATTAAAGCCTTGACAATGAGGTAACTTTTCCGAACAATACTAGCCGCTGCCGATTTTACATACCTAAAGCGATAGATTACCAAAAGAAAAATTGATCCCATGCACAGCTAAAAAAAAGAGGTTAATTCAAGCCCATTGCGCAGCTATTGATAGTAATTTTAATACTATTCAATTTGAGCCAATTGCGCATCTATTATTAATCTAGTAAATTCTAATATAAGGCAATAAGCCAGGACAGGTCATAGCATTTTTTCATCTTCTGCTGGCCAGACTAGAGTCTAGAGGGGGTGGAAGGCACAAATAAATGAAATTTTATGGGCCTTTCTTTTTTTTAAGACTCAAAAATTTAGTTAGACATTCAAAAGTTAATATTATTGAATATTAATCTAGATCTACGGCCTACGGCATTTCTACGGTATTAACTATATTATATAATTAATATATAATATTAGCGTGTATTTCGAAAATTGAAAAATTCGTTATTTTCGGGAGGAAAAGATACCGATCGACGCGTAATTTTTTACTGAAACTACTTTTTATACTCTGTGTGTGTCTAGCAAAAGTTTATTTAGCCTATTTCGATTTTAAAATTTTTGTGTTTATAAAAAATTTGGATTAACCTGCCACCATTATTTTTCCTCTTACATTAAAAAAAAAAGTGTCTCCGATATTGGTAGTACACAACTTGATGACGTCATACGCGTCAAATTATATTTTCGGACTTTTCGTCATTTTACTATAAATTGTTAATGTAGTATTTTATTATGAGTTAGACTTATCAAAATTATATTTACTATACACAACTAGGCCTATTAATATTTGAATAAATTAATAGGCATAGGCCTACTGAAAACTTGAATTACAACCACCATGTAGTAGTAGCAAAATATTTTTTTTTTTATTATTAGATTTTAACATTTGTGTAAGGCCCTACATGACCAACAATTTCATACCAATACCATTGTCTAAAATAGTGAAAATGTTATAATATAGTTTATATAGGCCCTCTACAAAGGTATTCAGCTGCTTCTTATAGTTAGGCCTATAGATTATCAATATTATTAACCTTGCTTGAACACATTATAGTAAGTTATAAAAATTCATCAGTTAAGCTAGTGATACTAATTAATGGAATCATTATCTCTCACTATGAATATTTAATTTATTTATTCATTCTAAATATTTAATATGTAATTTGGTGTCTAATAAATATATTTATTTATTGACTGCTTACTTCCAATTACTGTTGTTGCACTGTGAATTGCGCAAGTCTAGAGAAAAAACTTCAGCATAAGCTTATTTTATCAGAACATGTATATGAAGGCTTACTCATTGCAAGTTGTTTTTTTCTAGACATGTATAGTATTCATGTGGTAAGTGCAAACATGGTGTTACTCTGACAGATCCACCAGTATAATTTCTTATACAAGACCTGGTTTCAAATTAAAACAAAAGATAAAAATAAAAAGAACCAAAATGGTTTGCTTTCCAAAAAATATTTATTTATTAGATTTAGATGCAATCATATAAATTTCAATTATCAATGAAAAGAACAAAGTAATAATGGGTTTAAGTTTAAGGTGTGAGTACAACAAAGTGATTTATATAACAAGTTTTAGTTGATGCAGATTAAAAAATGATCAGGTTGAATGAAAGTCATCAGTCCAGGAAAGATACAAAAATCTGCAAAGAAAAAAAAAAGTTATTTGATTTGTTTACACTATACTGTGTATCAAATTAGAATACCATAAGTAAAATATAAAAAAAAAAAGATTAAAAACATAATACCATGTCATTACATACCAACCTTTATTTTTTAACAAAAAATTTAGCGCACTTTTGAAAAAATAGAAATTATATACATATTGTAAAGACATAAATATTGCAATCATTGCATGTAACTGTAAACATAAAAATATATAACAAAGGAACAAAGCAAATTTAAAATAAAACATTAATTATTTTTTAAAGCTCAAATTTTTAATAATCATGCTGTCCAAGGATTAACAGCAGATTAGGATGTAAAGCAGAGATCACTACTAATCTAGTCAGCTATTAGTGATTCAGCAGGTAGGCAAAAGTCCTCAGCTTCATCCTCATCGGGTGCCCAGTAGCCTACAGTGTAGACAACAGACTTGTTCTTTTTAGCTAGTACTCTGTTAATAATCCTCACATAATAGCGATGCACTTCCTGATCATCTAGCTCCCACTTGTCAGTCAGCTGGACACCAACCAGGTCTTTACCACCCACTATTCTTGACAAAGAGGGTTTCCGCTTCTGTCAACACCACAAAATAGGGGATGGTTTACTGAGACATTCGATCCAGACAACACATCATAGATGGAATTTTCAGTATCTCTGCGTTCCATAGCTTCCAACTTTTTCTTCATCTGCTTTATTCGAGATTGAATGTCTGTGTCTATTTTGTGCTGTAACTGGTTTGTGTCGATGACCCTGTCAAACTCCTCAATCAGTTTGAGATTCTCTGCATGAACAATGTCATTCTTTACTGAGATCTTGACCCTTTCTCCTCTTAAAGCATCATCTATCTCCTTCAATACTCTGTCATTGTCAGCAAATCCATCTCCCATTTAACACTATCAATCTTGGTTCTCAATTCTCTTGCTGAAGATGTCCAGTTGTTCTTTGAAACCTAACCTGCAATTTAGCATATTTTATGTTTGAAATCATCAATAACTTACCCTTTCATGCTGTTTCTGCACCAGCCAATACCTGCTTTGACATCTGTTTTTTTTTTTCTTTTATGTAAAATACTTCCTCTTCCAACACTGGATCTGTGTCTGCTTTCTCTGCAATGATTTAGTATCTTTTCTTAGTTTACTTATTGTAGAAAAATATGAATTGTAAAGGAAGTTCTGTGCAACTGTATTTTATAGCTGTAAGTTGATGAATCAAGTCATGACTTAGTATACTAAAATAAACAATTAGTGTTAGAAAAAAGTCTGTTACATTAGTAGTCTATTACAAATTACTTACTTAATCCTCATCACTCCCTGTGGAGTATAGGGCAGCAACAAATCCCTGCCATTCCACTCTGTCCTGGGCGAGCCACTTTAGTTCATGCCAAGTCTTGCCAGCAGCTTGCACTTCTTCTTCCATCTCTCTCCTCCATGTTCCCAGTGGTCTTCCCCTCTTTCGTTTTCCAGTGCCATGTTGGGGGAGTCATCTTTTGCTCTTGCGTAGGACATGGCCCAGCCATCTCCATCTCCTCATTCGAACTTCTGAAAATGCATTTGGAAAATTTAGATATAGATATCTAGGCATAAGGTTTATTTTAAAATAAATAGACTAGGCCTATTAGGTTTATTTCACACAAAAAAAAAACCATTTGTTTTTAAAATTGTGAGTCTAGTAAAAAGTTACTATTGTTTAGAGTTTAGAGTAGAGGTAAGTTAGAACTAGATCTAGATTTAATTACTTAACACTAAATAGGTATATCTATAATTAAAAGTAGTCTATAATTAATAATTAGGTAAATAATTATGATCAATTAAAGTACTGTCACTTATCAGAAAGACTAACCATGATTCCGATGGCTGAATGATTTCTCACTCAGATTTCTATCAAAGCGCTGCAAGACCACAGACTGAAAAAAAAAGTAGATTAGAGATTCTAGAATCTAGAGTCTATATCTAGAAAATTAGATTAATTTTTTAATAGAGATCTAGATCTTCTAAAATAATTTAGATTAGGCTTATACTTAATTGTACTATACTATATATAGAATATGTATAGAATAAAGAATCTACATCATCTAGAATCTAGATCTATTATTAAATCTAGAGATTCTATTTCTAGGTTTCATAAATTGATCTAGAATCTAGATCTAGCCTCTCCTAGTGATCTAGTCTAGAGTCTAGCTTGACGATCATCTGGATCTAATCTAGATCTAGATCTAATTCTAAGAATCTAACTAGACTCTAGATCTAGATTAGAATGATAGAATCTCTAGATCTCTAGAGTAGATCTGGATTTAGATTTCTAGATCTAGACTCTATTCTAGATCTAGATGATATAATCTAGATTCTAGATCTAGAAATTCTAGGTCTAGTCTAGCTAGATCTAGATTCTAGATCTAAATCTACCTAATGACACTATTAAACCTTATTACTTTTTTTCGTAAAATAGTTTTTTTTAATAATGCTATTTTTAAAAAACTTATTAAATATACAATATTTTTAAAATCTTTTTAAAATAATGGCGGCTACAAAGCTATCGATTCAGACTTTGCAGGTACATTTAAACGACTTGTTGGTGGGAAATTAGCCGTTTTCAGACTTAATTTAAAGAAAATTTGCAAAACTCTGTCGAACTACCAAAATTTTAAAAAGAACTGGAGTTAATGAAACATTTCAAACAAAAACTAAAAATCTCCTAGATCTAGATCTATCAAGTCTCAAGTATTCAACCGTTTTAGGTTTAGATTTTTACATATGGATCTAAATTGATATGATAGATATAGAATTATAGAAATAGATCTAGATCTAGATTTAAAATCACCACAGAAAGAAAGGCTCAGTGTTGACTTACTTAACTAAACACCTGTCACTGTTTTTCGTTCGATTAAGTTTTTTATTTTGTGGGTAGCCTCCCCTTGTAGTTAAACGTTCAAACTTCAACTTTTTATTTATTTATTACATTTTTATTAATTTTCAACAGTTCTAATATGTGAAAATTCACAGCAACAGTTTTAAACAATTGACAAATAATAAGCTTAATGCAGAAAAAATAGGCCTACAATAGTAAATGTTGCCAAAAAAAAAAATAATAATGACAACAAATAAATTTCACTGTTATCACTGTCACTGTAAGTCACATCACATCTCAGTTTTACTATAAAGCAAAACAATGTTACTTTTTGCCTTATGATGTATGACATATACATGTAAGTATAATTATACAATGGTAAATCATTCTTATGTTACCTCTATTAAAAATCAAAAGTCTCTTGTAATAACACATAATCTTTTTAGCGTGTTGATTTCTAAACATTAAGTACATAATCGACTGATACTGATTGTGTACCAGGTCCTAATTCTTTAGATTTCTTGTCAGAAAGTGAGCATACTTAATTTAAACAATATTTAGATCAGAACTTGAACCTGCTGGAACAAATAACTAGGTCAGAACTTGAGCTTGCTGAACAATTAACTAGGTCAGGACTTGAGCTTGCTGAACAAATAACTAGGTCAGGACTTGAGCTTGCTGAACAAATAACTAGGTCAGGACTTGAGCTTGCTGAACAAATAACTAGGTCAGGACTTGAGCTTGCTGAACAAATAACTAGGTCAGGACTTGAGCTTGCTGAACAAATAACTTGGTCAGGACTTGAGCTTGTTGAACAAATAACTAGGTCAGGACTTGAGCTTGCTGAACAAATAACTAGGTCAGGACTTGAGCTTGCTGAACAAATAATTAGGTCAGGACTTGAGCTTGCTGAACAAATAATTAGGTCAGGACTTGAGCTTGCTGAACAAATAACTAGGTCCACTCTCCCTTGTTTTACAAAGAGATAGACTCTTGTAACTGTCTTTAACTTGTGAGGTAACTAACACTATCTGTTTTATTACTAATTGCATTAACCTCACTGCAGCTACCATTTGTTTTAGGGATAGTGAATGAATTTCATTAAATCATAGACCTCAAGCAGTTTCACTAATTAGGAAACTGACAAGGCAGAAGCAGGTTAAATTAACCTAAACACAGGAAGGTTTAGTTTAAAACCAAAATGTTTCAATTTCTGACGTCAGGGCATGTGAGGCTTGATAGCTGGGAACCTATCTTTGAGAGAAAACTTGAAAATAAAACAACTATTGCCTTTTAGTTTATTCTTGAATAAACAAAGGCATATCCACAAAGAAAAGCAGAGTGAATTCAGAGTCATATAACCATAAAATTAGATAGTCCAAGCTGAAATTAATTATTGATTGTAGACATCTGTAGTAAGTTTCTCCAGATAGAGCTTTTGGTTCTAAATTTTGTTACTAATTTTATGAAAATATCTAAAACAATAAAAATAGTAATGCTATTTTCAAAAAAGCAAAATATTTTTTAAAACTGCACTTTTTGTGAACCAATATTTTCTAAATTAATTAACATGTAAGTGCTGAAATAGGCAAAGCTTCTCAAAAGTATTAAATATCTATGCCAGATTCTTTAGTCATCTAAAATTTTCAGACAAAAAACTGTTTTGACGTTTTTCTTTTCAAACTAAATAAAAAGAAAAAAAAAAAGCTAAAATAACTTCTAAAAAGCTTTACTGTAGTAATGCACTAAAAAGGAGAAAATAAATTATTTTCTTTGAATATAAAATAATGAACCACTATTTAAATATCTAAACAAAAAAGTGTAGGTAGCTGTAGGCCTATATATATTTCCTTTACTAGAATTAGAATTCAAGATGCGATCCATGCTTTTATTTTTAGTTATTAAACAGTGGTTCATTATTAAATACTTAAAGAAAATCATTTATTTACTCCTTTTTAGTACATTACTATATAAAGCTTGTTATACAATTTTTATTCTTTTGAGTATTTTAAATAATTGCGCACTAAATGAACACAAAAAATATGCGTATAGTAGCAGTAAATTATATTGGAAACTAATTCTTTAAAAATTAATTAATCATCCAATTAAGTCATATTTCATTTAAGATTGCACTGTCATCGGGTCTTGACCCACGTGCTAAGTTTCAGAGAAATAGGTCAGTAAGAAGTGGTTGAACTTTGGCTCATCAATTTCGATCCATAACGACCGAGAAATCAAGTTAGATAAAACCTTGTAAAAATGAAACTATTCAAAAACTGAAATTTTTGTTTTTTGACAGAGATTAACATTTGAAATGTCACAATGAAGATAAGCAGAATAACATGCACTGTTTTTATGGCACCAAGAAATATTTACAGAATTGTGAATGTCATTATTACTAATATTACCACTTTTATAAAACAGTTATTAAAAAACTCTATGAAGTGAATGTATGCAGAAATAACAATGTACAGTAATTATAATATCAGTACTGTAAATAAAAAAAAACAAAACAATAACACTGTAAGTGGTTAAAAATAATGTATTTACAAAGTACTTAAAATGTACTTATATACTTGTAATAATATAACATTCAACTGCAATAGAGTTAAATTAACATTGTTTCTTCATCCATTTGGATATTCACTTGGCAACTGTAGGTTATTTATAACATTCACCAATGGTCAAGTTTCTGTCTTAAAACTGTATGAGACACCTGGCTGCTCTGTAGATTGTATCACTCATCATTCATGTGCTTGGAAGGAGTTACCAGGACAATTAGCTTCAAGGTCTTTGTTGTCTGTTAAAATAATACCAGAAATTCTTATTGAAAAGAAATGTAAAGATCATTATTTTCTGATGAGAGAGAAATTAAATAAAGAGCTCTGGTCTTTAACTTTATAAAGACATTCTGAAACTGTAACTTGCTAATAGAGTTATCTCTCTCCTCTATTTATTTTTGTTATATAAATTACACATTTCTAAATTATAAAGACATTAGTAAAGTCATTTAAAATAAAGAGCTTTTAAATAAACAAAAATAAGAAAAGAAACTTATTCAGTAATAACAGTAAAAGAATTGGTGGCTAAGCAGTATTGAAAAAATTCTTCTTCACCTGTACTTTTACTATTATAGAAACAGAAATTATTTCCATTTATAATTTTTTACTGAATTTAAATGGTTTTTATTATAAAGGTTTTTATACGTTTCATTTTCTTTTTAAAAACCAGGAATCGTGAAAATAATATTAGACCTACCTTGATATTTAAGTTTTTAAAAAACATATAGCACCATAATTTATAGTAAGTCAATAACATGTACCCCAAAATACAAACATTTACTTTGAAATATGATCAGCAACTTGCTAGACTTTAACTCTAAACAAGTATTATTTTGTATTAACACCCAGTGGTAAATGAGGTAGGGAAACACCACAAACTAGCATGCTTGGGCAAGTGATGGCTACCAACTCGTTATTTCCCATTTTGTTGTTGTATATAGTAATCTTTAAATTAATTTGTATTGACTAATTCAGTGATTGTTAACCTTTTTTGTTAATGCACATAAAGTCTGAAATAATTAGCTCTCTTGGAAATGGGACATAATTGAGTTTCCTGATTTTATCATAAACTGATAATACACATACAATGTGACATAAATAAAAAGAAAGTCTATGTACACTGTTAATTGCCTACTATACTAAAAGAAATCTAGATATTCAATTTGTTTTGAGAATAAGAGTTTTTTTTTAAAGTATTTAAGGAGTTGACCCCATCCAACTGACCAAATGCCTACACAATCTAAATCACTAGATGTTTACTCCATCCAGATCATCAGTTGTCTATCTCATATTGTGTTATAACTCCACTGAATTAGAGATTACCTATTTTACTTATTATCATCTAAATGAGAAGCTGAACATTTTAGAGAAAATCATCCTGAAATGGGCAGACAGAGTTCGACAATAAACAAATCATGTTTCACTCTAGGCATTCTAATAGGGGAAAAGCAATGTGCGTATACCCTGCAGAATAACTTAACATTTAATGTTACAATTATGCTTAGAATCAAATTGAAATTAACGGGGAAGCTAAGTGACAAAGTGTAATGTTGGGGAGATGACCAGGAGAAGCGAGTAACTAAAGGACATTCATCAGAGAAACCTTAACACTCACCATCATACTTAGTGCCACACCATAAACAATAACTGTATACATTTCGAAGATATCGGGTAACTATTTCGAGCCGTTCCGCTTCCTGAAATTAATAATATAAATCAATTATTATACACTACTTTTAAGAAGCTATATTCTATTAATTACAAATATGCATATATTTAACATAAATCACATACAAAGTTTAAAGAAATAAACTCACAGAAAATTCTAAATAAGCAGGGCATTCTGTTATTTCATCTTCATCTGATTCACTTTCACAATTTTTTTCATCAACATCATCATCACTTTTTTCTTCCTCTTCTTTAGTAAGCAAAGTTACTGCAGGCCAAAAAAATGGCTCCTCTGGTTCTGTTAGGCCCTAAAAATTTAAGAATTTATTGGAATTCTTTTAACAATATGAATAAAAATGTTAATAGCTTAACAATACTAAACATTAAAAAGCTCATTTCAGATAACAGTTACAAGCAGCTGATAAATATCACAATTGTCATTTATTCCTAGTAAATTTTTTTTTTCTCATAGCTACAACTTGAACATAAGATAACAGTATACAAAGAATTCAGATGTTCCTTTATAACCTGTTCTTGATCTAGTTGTAAGCATGCTCGTTGTGCTGTTCTCAAATCTCTCTCGACATGCTTTTCTGAAAACCGCTCACTCATTCTGCCTACAAAAGTTTCTTTCTGTTTCTCCACAGCCTTTTGTCTCTTGGCTAACATGGCAGCTCTCATATTGTTCATCTCTGTGGCTTTCCTTTTCATCTCTGAATCTCTGCCTAGTCCTGAACGGTTAGTTTTCAACTCAATAGGGACTGGCTCAACTCGACCATTTCCTGGGTGAATAAACCGAAATTTAACGAACTTACATTACTTTTACAAATCAATCCATTTTGAGTATCAAATGCTTTAAGTACAATTAATTATATACAACACAATATTAACTCTTAAAACTGTTAATAGAAAATAAATTTCAATAAACATAGGAAGTATTGTGATTAGGTAATAACTAAAAAGCTGTTTGATTATGAGAAAACATTCAGAGTTACCTAATTTCCCTATTCCCATGCCAGGTTTGTAACCCATTTTTTGCAACAGTGCAAATCCTTTACTTTCAGTAGAAATGCTAGCGCTAAGCCCTGCTTCACGATGAGTAGCTTCAAGCTTGTGCTTAGGAATAGTTGCATTTTGTTTATTGGCCACTTTCATACTCTTTTCCTTCTCATACTTCTGTTGTATTTGTTTTGGCGCTAAACCAGGTCTTGTGTCTCCACTAAAAATGTCAATTATTCTTTATAAAATGCCTTGACAATATTAAAATTGCATGATTAAGCCTAGGCCCTAAGAATAATTTCAGACAAATAAAACAGGCCCTACATATTAGTATATGTAGATCTAGCTTTGTTTAAAAGCTTGTGAGCTTATAAGTTTTAGAATAGACAAAGAAACAAATGGTTTACTTTACTCTACTTTATTTGCTTGATTAAAACTGTTTCAATTAAATTTTCAGGACTACAAATTGGTTTGGAGTAGGCTAGTTATCAACATTTTCCAAAGTTGAGTAAGCAATCTAACTAACTAAAGCATCATATTTACCACATTTGCAAGACCTTATCTGACATATAATCATCCTCATCATCACTAGACATTTTGTTGAATCTGTACCTTTTTTTAACAAAAAAAAAACAATCAAATTATTTCTTACATAAATATTTTACAGAAATAAGCCTTAATAAAATAGGGGCTACTAAAGAAAATAATAATATAGGCCTAATACTAATTATAAGATTGCCATAACTATAACATATTAAGATATTTTAGTAGTATTACTTATTATTACTATATTAGTATAATAAGTAAGCCCTATTAGTAGCCAATATTAATATTACTAAAATAGTATAGTTAACTTTTATAAGCCTGCTAAATACTTATAACTTATAATAAGTATTTAGTACTATTTTTACTATTTTATTATGCCTGGGCTATACACAAAGGGGTAGCGAGGGTGGGGCGGGGGGTGCAGACCGCATGGGGTGACACCATTTAGGGGGGATGACACCAAGGCGAAAAAATTGAAAAATGTACAGAAGAAAAATGCTTTTTGCCAGTTCCATTTATGATTAATTAAAGTTAAATACTTAAATAGTCTTTCAAGTTCAAATCGACAATTATTACAATACAACGTGCTAACTATAGAGAAAACAGTTCTACATCCATCTGTATTATTAACAGAGATTAACATCGTTACAATTAAGTCTGCAGTGATTTAAGTTTATTTATATAGCCTACACATAAATACATACAGACACACAGATATATAATTAATATATATATATATAGGCCTATAGGCCCTATATTATATATTTATATATATAGGGCCAATATATACTTTGTTTCTTGGGGGGAGGGGGGGTGACACCATGTAGTGCCTCACTAGTGACACCCAACCTAGCGCCACTGGCTATACATTCAATACAACTATACAACTATACTTTACTATACACTACAGTACTAGAGATCTAGATTCTATACAATATACATTACATTATGTGACTATAGGCCTAATATTTAATTATTTTTTATACTATTATACTATAGGCCTATTAGTTAGATCTAGATCTACTAGATGTATGACTATGTTACTTTATGTACAGTTTACTTTTTAAGTTACTAGCTACAAGTAGCTAGATCTAGATCTCTAGGCCTATTGCCTAAGTCAAGTTTAGAACTCTAGATCATATTTCTTTAATCTAGTAGTAGTAATAATTAAGTAGTAGTAGTAGATCTATAATCTATATTAAATAGCTAGGTATATAGCCCATAGCGGGCATAGGGACCTATCTTAAGTTCTTAACTATCTCTAGATCTAAATCTAGATCTCTACTTTTAATCTGGAGTACTGGAGTAGATATTGACATTATTGTAAACTAATTAAATTAAAGGGAGTTCACTCGAATCAAAACGATGTGTGTAATTTTTAAAATCTTTCTGATTCCGAAATACGTTCAATTATTTAGGTTTGGTGCAACTTAAAATCAGCCTTACATTATTATTATCAATAATAATACCATGTTTATTATGAATAGTATTGAATACTGAATAGTCACTATTACTATTGTAGAAGTGACTGTTTACTATAACTTATAGTCACAGTGTAATGGACCTAGTCTAGATCTACAACTCATTTATTGATTTAAGTTGATTTAAGGTTTAAAACACTAACTACTAGAATAGATCTAGATTTCTTGATCTAGATCTAAGATCTATCTTTTTAATTTTTAGGGCAGGGTGAGGGGTTTCACCGTTTTAGTTTTTTTTTTTTTTGTTGTTGCTAATCTAGAATAATCTATAGATCTAGATCTATCTATTTATAGGCCTAGCTTATTATCTAAGTCTACTGAGTTCTAGATTTTAATCAGTATTTTCTAAAATTCAACCCCACAATGCACAATGTATTATTCCTATATTGAACAATTTTTATTGTGATCACTTTGTGACCTAGTGACCTAAAATTGGGAACACACCAGTTATGCCTAGGGTAATGTACCTAGTGCACTGCTACGGATTTATCAAAAGGATACAGCGCTCTTCTGTTCTTTAGTTAACGAATGTACAGTAGGCCCTAGTCTAGATAATACTAGATATTGAGTCTAGACACAGATTCTTATTCTAGATCTAGTTCTAGATCTAGATCTAGATCTAGAAGTGTTAGAAGTGACTAGACTTAGACAAAAAAACTTAAAAGGAGTAAAATCTACAACTTACAACAAGGTAAGGTATGAATTATGAATGAATTATAGATATATATATAATTATAATAGTATAGGCCTAGGCCTAGATCCATACAGCCGCCGTCAGCGCTTAACACTTAAATAACAGGCTTAACAAAATTGACAATTAAAATTTAATTCTTCTTTAGTCTAGAGTCTAGACAAATAAAAAAAGTGGCCATTTCCAGATGGCTATCATTTCATGTAAAATACAACAGGGAATAATTATCTTACAATAACAAAAGCATTTATCATAACCGGGGAATGATCAGTGGCGTAGCTAAGGGAGGGCGGGTAGGGCGGCCGCCCCGGGCGCCGATCCTATGGCGACCTATGGTGTTGCCAAAAGGGGTAGAAATTTTTTTTAAAGCTGAGGTATTGAATTATACACAGTCAAAGTAGGAAAGTAAACAGCTATAAGGCTTTACACACTGATTTTACTGTTTTCTACATCACTTGTGTGGTACCACAATCAAAAACTTTACGGGAGAATGACTGGTAAAATTCGCCACCAACCTTCCAACTGGGGTGTGGGGGGACCCTTGTTGAATAACTATAAACATAAATGGGTGGGAGGGGGCGCAAAATTTATTTATTGTTTGCCCCGGGCACCGGAATAAGTAGTTACGCCTCTGGGAATGATGTATAGATAGATTAAAATAGCAATGTTAGGCCTATTTTTATTGTGCTTTTAAAAATAAGACAAATAATTATTAATTATTCTGATTATTTAGGTTTAAGTAGTTTATGTTCATATCTGCTATGCAGTAAAGCAGATGACTAACGAAGTCTAATGCACTCGAAATCTAAAGTTATGATCTGAAGTAGGATTAATACTAATAGCAATTTTTTAATGAATACCTAATTATGCATCACTTAAGTAGTTCAAATGCTTTTCAACTGTCAATTACCATTTTAAAAATCACATAGGAGTAAATAATAGTAAATATCAGGTGAAATAGCATGTCAGTTTTAATCCGATGTTTTTATTCATGTTTCCAGTTTCCATCACGATTTTCCCAAGTTTTTTCTCTCTTAACAAAAATGTAAGGGATTTTTTTTTTTTTTTTTGCTGCAAATATGCCAGCAATCACATCATAAGTGAAAAACAATTTAAGGAACGTTAGCCTTTCATGAATAACTGCAAAACATAATGATAAAAGGTTGTGAACTTAAAATCAATACCACAACATCCAGCACGTCAGCAACACATTGTTCCACTTGACCACACTGCTTCATGCCTTACATTACATACATGGCATTTTTAACATTCAATGTATCGAAAACAGTCATGAATGGGAATAGCCCTAATAAAATAATATGGCAATACCCTGTCAATTGAGTCAACTGGGAATAGAAACTTGGGGTAATTTGTAAGTAAATGAGTTAATGTACTCGGAAAAATAATTCATATAACATGTACATTACTATGTATGAGACTTTTATAAATCATGTGCAGGTCTGTTATATTTAGAAATATGCCTTCCAGTTTCCAGAAATTTTAAAATATGTAATCTAGCATCCCTTGCTATTCTTTATTGAAAACATTTTTAAAGAAATAATTTTATTTTCATCTTGTTGGTGCATAAATAAAAGCTTGTTATTATAAATGTTTTTATTCTTGACCATGGACTAAAGTTTAAAAAAAAGTCTTGATTTTCTTTCTTTTTTTAAATTGGCATTAGAGAAGATTGTTATCCAAGACTTAAGGGTTGCCCTTAGCTTAAAAGCTACACTACATTCCTCATGCTCTCTCCTAGCATTGTGAGCATTGCTTTATCATATTAATTTTGATATAATAATAGCATCAATCAAATGTATTCATTAATTAATAAATAGTTTGTAGGGGGAAGGCAAGTGTCTTGTGAAATATATGATGACCACTTTAAATAGTAACAATCGCTATGCCATGGTCAGAGTTAGAGCACACAATTACCAACCGGAGAATCCTGAGTTTGATTAACAGTCTTGTGTTCTTTGGACCTAAGTCTGAAGGGTACCTGACTTAAGTTAGGGAAAGTAAAAGCAGTTGGTCTAAGTGCTGACCAGACTGTTCCTTCATAAAGCAAAGTCAGGGAAGTAGAATGAATTCCATTTCATCTGCCCCATGGTTTGAAAAAGTTCTTTACATTTTACTTAATTTGTGCTGATAAACTTTTGAAAAAAATTTGGCTTAAAAGAAGTCTTGGGATGCACATTGCTAGACAGTGCATTGAGGTTATCAACTGAATTCTATTAATTGTTTGCTGTATTAATCAGATTTGATATCTGAAGTTGGTCTCACAAGCTTATCAGGCATCTTATTATTAACTGAATGTAATTTGTTAGTTGAAAATCAGCAGATTTTAATATTGATATTTTTATTAGCTCTAGTTTGTTAATCTGTAGCTACTCAATCTGTTGTACTGACCCTTAGGGGTAATGTGGAGGTGGTGGAAATCTGAAAGATTCAACTTTTGTTGACTGCTTAGGTGGAGGGGAAGGGTTGTCAGTACCTAATACCAAAGTACCTCATACATTTCTCTGATTAGGTCTGTGCTGCCTTTTTTACTTTTTCATATACAAAGTAGAATCTATATTGAGAGAGTAACAAAAATCAAAAGAGAGATTTTGACAAATCTGGTCATTTTACACCTTCCTGAGTCAGAAAAACTTTTTGTCTGTGAACAGGATAACTTCAGCACCATTTCTGTTATGTGGAAAAAATCTCATGTATAGTATTTGTAGTATTAGTATTTTATTGAATTTGTAGTTCTGTAGGACTATCTACTTTTAAGTGATTACTGTTCTTGTAACAGGAAGTGGTACTAACTCTGCTTCTGGTTTCTCTAAAGTCAATAACTGTTTTTCCATGTGATAACTTGAGTGCTGTTTCATTTTAATTTAAGTAAACAAAATTTCATTTAGCTAAAGAAATTTCATTTATAAGTGAAAATCTTATCCTTAGATTTTTTCAATATTTTAGTGACCTGCAATATCTGGAAGTGGTACTTAAAAAGTCTATGGTTTCTGAAATACCATGAATACCATTTTAGATAGGTAGATGAAATTTCATACACATGTGTAAAAGATCCTGTTCACTGTTTCTTTCAAATTTTGAGTAATTTCCCATGACCGGAAGTAGTATATCTACTGTATACTATTTCAAACTTCTTAGAAACCATAATAATAAATGTATCTATCTTGATTAGATAGGGGGAGATCACCCCAACTTCCAAGAGCCTCTCATTTTCCAACATTAGCTTGTATATGTTGTTTGTATTGTCATTACTTTAATTTTGAACATTTCCATCTTTGGTTATACCTTATCACCATTTTAAAAATTCAAGAGTTATTTTTCCTAATGATTGTGTCAAGTGTATTTTGGTAGATTGTTAGCTATTGGCTAATTACAACTAGACTTAGGTCAATGATAATAGCCACTTGTAGCTGACTTCTCAAATATTTAAGAAGAAACCAATTTAAATAAAATGGCAACCTACTTATTGGGGGCAAGCCTTCATCCCTAATTAGCTAGGCTTGTGGTTGTCCCACCTGTTACTTGGTTCATAAAGCTACCATTGTAAAATTGGTATTGATCTCATCTAGTTTTGACCTGAGCCTCATTGATTACACAATAAAAATACCTTGCCATTAATGTTGTCTATTGAGTGGCGTCCTGTCCTAGTCAGGCCTAGTGCAGTCACAAGATAACAATTTACAATGCTGTAAATAAAACATGCCTGGTTTGGTTTCTCTGTTCAAACATGTTTGTTACAAGCTCTTTGGGGTAGGGGGGGTGTACAAATGCTACATTGTATAGAGCTGGGTTAAGATTGAACACAACTGGTACAGGATAATTTTTGAAGGAACCCGCTGTTTACTATTAAATTCTGTAAAGAATTTGAAACTTGTTCATATTATCTTGAAATACCCACCTTTTTTTTTCACTTTCCATCTAGGCCTGTAAGAGTATTGATTATGTTGACTTCTTCGTCACTTAGAGAAAAGTTGCTGGTAATTTATGCAAGTTTAGAAACCAGCAGTTTGGAGTCAATATATGCTAATATAGGCAAAAGAGATGTACATTCCATTTAATATCCAAGACAAGAAAGAGATGGTTTCTGTTGGTCTAGCTGATGTATTTAGAAAGTAGTTGTTTCTGTTAGGCTAGCTAATGTATTTAGACAGTGTTTTTTTCTGTTAGGCTAG